CAGCTGCAGCTTCCTCATGGGGGGAAGGGGTGGGGCAGGCGCTGATCTCTGCTCTGTGACAGCACCCAAGGGCATGGCCTGAAGTTGTGTCAGGGGAGGTTGAGGTTGGATATTAGAAAAAGATGCTTTTATCCAGAGGATCACTGGGCACTAGAACTGCTCCTCAGGGCAATGATCACAGCACCAGCCTGACAAGAGTTCAAGAAGTGTTTGGACAATGCTCTCACACACAGAGTAATTCTTGGGTGTCCTATGCAGGCCAAGAACTGGATTTCAATTATCCTCATGGGTCTCTTCAAACTCAGGATATTCTGTGATACTATATTAATTGTGAACACATTCCACAAGTCCCCAAAATACATTTTGACAGTTATTTCTTTCAGTTTGATAATTTATTGACTCAAATTTAAACTCAAACACTGTAACTAAACAAGAGCTTTAGCTCTCCATTGAGTATCACTATTCACTGGTAAATAAGAAAGCAACAGATTTCTTCCACTTTACATATAAAAGAACCCCATGGTCTTAGAATTGATTCAAGGATAAAGAACAAAGTTTCCTGAATTGACTTGCAATAATTTCACCTGGAAACATGTTAAAAGACTCAAATTTTAGAGAAGATGCCTATGCATTCAAAAACTGGAGACAGCAAACAGTACATGTTTTTCACTGGGCTCTTAATAATGCAAATCACCCACCTCATAAACTCACTAGATGGCACTGCACACACATCAAGCGGCAACAAGTTTTGCATGACCAGAAATTCAAGAATGGCTTAATAAAATACACCCTGAAGCACAGAGTATGTGCACATATTTGTGGCCTCACATAATTATTTCTTACAATAAAGCTATTGGAAACTTCTGTCTGAAGCAAAGATAATCTGTTTGTCAACACAATTTGCAGTTTCAGGAACTAAGTAACACAAGACCAAGTAAAAGCTGCTTTAAGTGTATGACTGTTAAATATGAAGTCATACATCTCTACGTGGGAATCATGGTGTAATCATGAGGCAAATTACTCATACAAGTAAGGACTATAAAGAAGAACTATCTGAAAACTTGATTAATGTAGTAATACATTAGGAACTCTGTAATTGGGATAAGAATTTTAGAAACAGTGCCTTGTAAAGATGTCAGCTTATGGACTTAAATGCCTAGCTAGCATGATACTTGAGCAATTGATTTACACACAAAGTATCCAATAGGAAAATTTCAGTAAATCCTTTAAGCCATGTTTGAAGATGATACTTAATTAAGGTCATAACAGGAGAATTATTAACTGTACATTCATCCCCATAAGAAAGAAAAAAGAAAATTGAAATAAAGTCAAGTCCTTTGCTGGAGAGTTGTGAAACTTTCTTGTTTGATTTGGAAGCACTTCTGTTCTCCAGTATATAGTACTTGTAAAATGGCTGCTATGTACCTTAAGTAATACCAGCTTTATTTGCATAATTACACTAACCCATGGACAAAGATAATCCCCTAGATATGAAGAAAGTTCAAAAACCAGAGGCAGTATGAGCACAGGTCTGTTCAGATTATGGCCCTGATGAGGAAACGCGACTGTTTTTAGCACAAGTACTTTGCAATTAATTCTAGCATATGTGTAGCACTGGCAGAACCAGATTCTGAAACGCTGGGCAACTTCATGGGGAAGGAAGGAGCTGGGAATGCAAGGGGTGCTTACCTGCTAGAGGGCAATAGTTTGAAAAGCAGAATCACTATCAGAACACTCTCAGTTTAGGACTGCACTGAGTGGTAGAGCTTCAAGCAATTTGAACACCCAGAAAGATGCTAAAATAACTGAACTACCCACACTGGAACCATTTTGGCACCAAAGCTGAGTAATACTTGCATAAAGAAATGCACTGGAATCTGCAATTGATGTGGCATCTTCTATTTCAAGCCAATTTTCTCAAGTAAATATCCTGAAGGCATTCAACCTGAACTGTCAGCCAGAAGTTACTTAGTCCTCATGCTGTTTTCCAACTCTAATATGGTATGTAAACTTCAATAGAGAGAAAGAAAATGAAACTGAAAAGAAACTTTTTATATGGACAGATATTTTTACAAACTTTTGTGCCATTAAACTCTAAAGGATTTTTTTCCAAAGCATTGTCTTCCTTTAAAGGCAAATGTATCATCTATGTTTTGCAAAAAGAAAGGGACTGGCTAATCTAGAGCTTTTTCTCAACTAGATTAATTTTTTTTTCAGTTCTAATGTAATTGTCATGTAAGGAAAAGTCTGTTTATATGAAATATAGCACCAAAGAATTATTTACTATGCACTCTTAATAATCCATGAAAAAAGTAATTTGCAATGATATGTCAATTTCCTCAACATTAAGAAATAATAGCACAAAGTATGTAGTAATCATTTACTGGTTTTCATTTTGCAAAAATTAAGCATTTTTGCAAAATGAAAATAATCTTATATCCTAATTAGAAACTCACTATTTCATCCAGGCTAAAGGTAGTTAAGGATATCTCATATTGCAAAAATATTTCTTTGATGAGATTAACACACCAAAATTCTCAAATTTGGATTAATTTAAACAAACAAAAGTATACCTATACACATTTAAAGCAGGAACTGAAATGAAGTAGAGTTAGTGCTTGTGCTTCAAGTTTGGTCATAAGTTCCCTTACAGAGTATAGTCAGAACACTCATCACTAAATATTAGAAAACCAACTGAAAGTAGCTATCTACTTGTTCATAGGATTCCTCCATTCTTACACACTCCCATCCCAAAACTTGATTCTCAAAAAGATGTACATGCACACGCATACACTCCTAGATGGATAACAAGCAGATATTTTCTAAGCTAAGAACAAAAAGCCCAATGCTAAATTGGGGGGGCTGTGTTAGGGGGGTGGTGGGGGGAGGGGAAGGATTTTGCTAAATTTGCAAAATTCAAGTCAGATATCTAGCACCAAAATATTAAGCCACCAAAAAGCAGAGACTATTATTCAGCAGATGGCCATAGATATTCAGCAAATACTTTGTCCAGGCTAATCAAAGGGTTTAATTATTATTTTTTAGTTTCAGCTTAAAGAATTAGCTCATTCCTGCTTTTGCTATGCAGAATATTTTTGTTCCCATTTTAAAAAGGCATTTAATAAAAATAAATAAAACCTCATTGCCAGTGCTTGCTGGGCAATGGCTAATCTCACTTGGATACATCCTTTAATTAAATATTCAAGAGGCAAGGGCTATCCAAATTAATTTACAATGACAATTTATTATAAGAAGTAGGCGAATACATTACCATTTAGTTACAAGACTACAAACATGAGTTTGGCTCAAAGCCCACTAAAGTGAATGGAAAATCTCACACAAACTTCAAAGGACTTGGGATCAGTCCCTATAAAAACTACATGAAGAACTTTCCATTTTGGGTGATGCAGCTACATAGCAGTGGTTAATAAAGTCAATGTGTGTTTTTAGTGGTTGGAGATTTTTTTTCAGGAAAGAGTTGTACAGGAATACTGGGAAGCAAATAGATTAATCTGCCTAATATGATATTAAAAAAAATAAAATAAAATAATAAAAAAAAGCAGAAGGTCATATAGTATCCAGGCCCCCAGGGTATCAGAAGGCTGTCAGTAATCCCATATTATGCCACAGTAATCTAATAGGAAAAGTCTTCTTTTTGAAGAATTCTCTTTGTCTCAAGCAGTAAAGTTAATTTTGATATAATCTTTTACAAAGCATTTAGAGATGAGCATGCTCAGCTGGCAGGCAGTCACTGCCACCAAAGCTGGCCAGCGCTGTGCATTTGGGATGTTTGGGATGGAGGCTGAACTTCCTGCAGGTCCCTGCCTCTGACAGCAGGAGGGAGATTTTCAGTGACTGTTTGTATCACCCCCTACCCATTAATGCAGCCACCTACCTAGTAATGAGAACAAAATATGGCATTCACAAATGACAAATATGTTTCTTAAATTATACCTCTTGGTGAAAGAGTTATTTAAAAATATATGCTATTTATATGCTTAACAGAAGTCATTGAGAGAAAAAAGAATTTTCAAATAATAAAGTGGGCTATCCCTATTATATGAAACAGTCATATCACAAAAAATGCAAAACCTCATTTCCATTTCTTATAGGAAATTTCTGTATGGGCCTTCTTCCACATAAAAGGTGGAAGATGTACTTACAGGTTTGTACATCTTCAATTCTGTTTCCACTACATCAGAAATGTAATATTTACTGCTTCTTCTGAATTCAAATACTATTTCTGAATCCAAATATTGCACAAAGAGCAAAGGAAATTGGCTAATGGACTATACAAGAATAAGCTTTTAAAACTGGCAGTGTAAAGTAAGGAAAAAAAAAAAAAAAAGAGAAAAAATATTTTCCTCTCTAGTCACTGCTTGTTTCTTGAACTACTGAAAGACAAAATTTCTGAAAAATTCTGATTTTTAAGTTGAGGGAACTGACTGAATTGCTAAACTGCATTTCCTTCTGATAGCCATTCAAAATAACTATGAAGTCTTCTACTGTGCTAACTGCACAAATTAAACTGGATAGAAAAAGATGCAAGGTATTCTAACATTCAAATACCAACAGAACAAATATTGGATTCACTGTTGTTTGAATTAGTACATCAGAAACTAAATGAATTAATAAATTTAAAATGTATCATTTATTTTATGACAACCAGAATCTACATTATTTCACTATCAAGTTGCAGCTGACAATTAACATTTTAAAAAAATCAGGGAAATAACTAGATGCAAAGAAAAGGCTATGCAGACATTAAATCCATGTTAAGCTTTTTATTTCTTAAAGACAATTAATAATAGGGTTAAATCACAAGTTAAGCTTCCAGAGTCAGAGAAACAATAGCATTACTGCAAAATCTTAAAAAAAAACTAAACTGAAAAGACCAAGGACCTAAATGCAGAGAATATTCTTTTCATTACCACCATTATTATATTAGAAAACATACTTGTGAATGTACAAAAAGCAGCATTTTAATCCAGTATACTTACATTATTGCATTCTCCCAGGAAATATAGTGCAAATCCATCAGCTTTTGTAGCTGCCAAAGGAATAACAAAAGAAATAATTGTTCTCACAGAGATAAATCAAACTTCTACAACATCATGGAGGTGAAACCACAGATTCAATTCCACTTAGGACAAACATCTACCATTCAAAAGTTTAAGGTTTTCTGCTATGTCCCCTAACACTTTGGAGAGGTTATAAAGGTAGAGGTACCACAGAGTTCTTGCTTTGTTCATTGCCATTGACAGCATTTTAAAAGATAATTAGAAACAACTTCTTTATACCTCTATACTCCAAGGCCTAATGTCTGTAAAAGCAAATTAATTCATACAATAAAAGTAACATTGAAAAGTGTATTTACAATATAATGTCAGACACCACTACAATTTCTAAGAGTAAAATAAATGCTAATTGTAAATATTAAGCTATATTTGTTCTTGCCTTAAGAGAAAAAAATCATGGGAAAATGAGGAGTTACAAATACTCCTATAAAAATGTGTTTTAAAACAGCTTATATTTTCTACATCTAGCCCATATTAAAAATAGTGACACTCACCAGAAAATTTATAACTTTATAGATTTCTGCCAGATTCAGAGTGTGGCATGAAACAGGGTAAAGTCAAGTTCCTTAAACTCTCAAAAGCTTAGAGTCAATCAACTTTCATAACTCATAACTTATCCTCAAAATCAGAACCAAAGCAGAAAATGTTTTTCACCCTGCTTTAAGCAACAGGCTTGGATCATGTGTCTTTCCACAAGTTAATAAACATTCTAAAAATAGATTAAAAAGGCATATCTGGTATTTACTGTTTTATGAATCAACTCAAAAATAACTTTAGTACATTTCAGGGGAAAAAAAATTACTTGTGTGCAATCAAATCAAATGGCTTTCTTAATTTCTTTAAGAAAAGGAAAAAAGTTCAACTATGTAGTTACTTTTTTGTTGTCAACTGTGCAGCACTATTAAGAGTTGAGGGCACAGTAATTTGCATTCAGATTTTAAATCCTTCAGCTGTAGTACCTAAGTATATTGACTTACAAGGCAAATGAGGACTGTAAAGGAAATAATATATTAAAAACCCTCCTGTCTGCTATACAAAAGAAAATGTAATACATAAGCTCTCTGTATAGTCAAGTCTCACTTGCTGTTTATTAACAAATTTGATTTGCAGTGAGTTGGACATCAATATCCAAATAGCACAGCACCCTAAGCAAAATCAGCAGAGAAAAGGTTCTTTCAAAACATCATATATATAAACCAGAACTATTACTCAACATTACAAAATTATGAAGTAGCTGGGATAGTAAAACCTTTCTAAAGAGCTGACTGAAATCTACTGTGACACTTCCTATTGAAGTCTGAGTACATCCACTCTGGCTAAAAAGAAACCAAATTACACTTATATTGTTATAAAAAGGTACTTGCATCAGATAGAAAAAAATATTTAAACAACAGAGTTTGAAATCACACAAAAGTCATGCCTTCTTCCAGTGACATTTCAATTGTTTCAAAAGGAGTATAAGTATGCAGTGATATTACTGATACATTTTTTTTTTACTTTCTCTATTGAAATTGTAACACCATCATAATCAGAATAGTTGACTCTTTAGTTCATTTAACATGAGACTTTAATATCACAATTGGATATGCAACTCTCTCCAAAGATGAAATTCACTTAAGTGCAGCTAGGGACTCACTGAGGGACAGAAGGTGAAGTAAGTTCACACTGAGAGAACATCCAATGAGAACACTGTTATCCCTAAGTACCTGGCTTTATTAATTAAGCCACGTAAGAAATGTGCTGTGCAGTGATGCTGAATAACAGCTCAGAGACATCTGATTCTCCTTCTTACCTATTTTAATGATGCTGCTCAGTTCATACAGAAGCAGTTGGTTATCTCCTCCTGTATCCAGGCGCTGCTCTATGTAGCTGTTTAATTCGTACACTACGCCCTGCATATTCGTATCCTGGTACTATGGAAGCAAAGATGAGAAGAACATTTTAGAATAACCGAGATTAATTTTGCAGGTTTGAAACATACAAATTCATTAAAAATAATATGTTAAGATTTCAGTACTGAGCCAAGTAGAGCTGTCCTAATCCAGCTGCCTGAAGAGCAAGGTCACTGCTACGCAAGACACACAACACTCCACCCTCTGTTCATTAGATATTTGTTCAAAGCACACTGAGAACATCACTGAACAATTAAAAATCACCTAAACTGAGCCAGGGTCATGGAAAATTATCAAGTAAGTAGACTGTCACCGTTGAGTCAGAGATGACATGGACTCCACAAGCAATCAGAAGGCTAATTCGCTTTATTAGGAAACCCGTTCCTTTTTATACTCTATAGAGGTATAGAGTCTAAGTGGTCCTTTAATCAAAACACTGTCACCATTGGTTAATTAAGAAACCATCCATCTGTAAACAACCTTATGGGCAAAACAGCTTATCACAAAACACCTGCAGATTGTTTACAATTCTTTCTCTCCAGCTCCCTCAGACCAACTCCTGGGAAAGCTTATCTAGCTTTCTCCCTCTCTCTGACCAGACTGTTACATCCACGGTAGACTTCAGCTCCTTCCTTTTAAGGATTTTCCTAGTTCACCAGGAAAGGAAGCAAGCAACTGCCTTAGCTAGCATCTTCCACCTCAGATTCATGTGCCAAATGACAGAACTGTGCCAAACACCAGAGCTTTCAGGTGGTCATAGCTCAGGAAGCTCAGCTTTTCAAATACAAAAGCAATTAATATCAACCAAGTGAAGGACAAAAATCACAAGGCAAAATCATGCCAGCCACTGTGGCTTCATAGGCTTTTGTTTCAACTGATAATGGCAGACAAAAATCAAATCTGTTGGCAGATTACAAATCAGTTAGGGTATTTTGATGGGAGCCATGGGGTGCTGATTGCTGGTATGATGGAACAGCATGATATGGTTAAAATCTCACAGGAAAGGAGATGCAGCCTCCCTTCAGGGCCCCAGCTGCATTTGTTTATCCATTTCCCAAGTTCTGAAGGGCTGTTAAAAACAGCACTTAAATGTGTATGTGTAGCATGACAGCATCACGAACAATAATTTCACAGGAAGCAATACTTGGCGCTAAGTAAAGATTCATTACCCTGCCCAAAACTGGTAATGTGGAAACTGAATAAAGTAATATGGTCAATTACTTACTGAACTCCATGATGCAGTAAATTACATTGCTTAAACTAAAAATTAAGCTGGTGATATTTAGACAAATTAATGTTGCTTGAAAGACTAAGGCTTACTCTTCTGCTCATTCATACTTCAGAGCCAAGTTTAATATAGATCAGACTAATATAAACAACAATGGAAAATACCATAAATGTTCAGAGTATCACAGTCTAGCCCACTGCCAGTCCAATGTTTATGGGCATATATGTAACTGCTCAATAACTTTCTAGATGTTCTCTGTCTGAAAATGTGGGTAAACCTCTAGATGTGACACTTACTGATGGATTAAGCATGTAATTTACACAATATATTTCATTATATGATTTTTATTTCCCCTCTTATTTTCATGCATACAACACACTATGTCAGGAATACAGAGCATGTAAAGATATATATTTAGGATACATTTTGATGCTTCATCTCAAAAACACCCAAAAATCTCCACCAACAAAAAAATTAAAAGTGTTTGCTGGATAATATAAATTCCCAGTTTCTTTAATTCAGAAGACCTTAATCTTGATTTTAAAATGGTTCCTGAGAATATACAGTCTCTGCCATGACCTCTTCTTAATCTACTAATCTATTGCTCTACATGGACATATTAGAACATTTAAGTATTAGGCTGTCCAAATATTCTTAATGTGTAACAAATCTGACAGTTCATAATTCTTTCTGTAAAATGATGCGATAGTTATACATTTTGACAGTGATGTAAGGTCACACTGCATAAATGCATAAACTACTGCAGGTCTTGAGTTTACAATACAGCATGCCACTGCCAATATTAGCACCATATGGCAGCTGGCAAGCTTCCACTGCCTGCCCTCTGCTGTGTCCCACATTTACTCCTGTATGATTATTATTCAAAGGGAGAAAACAATTGCATAGTTTCATGCAAGTGGATATTTTATACTTACAATCTGTAGCCATAAGTAGCCGTAAAGCAGGAAAATGGTGAACAAAATCTACACAATTCAGATGTGCTAACCCTTTTTCAATCTGCAAAAGTATGTGTAGCCACATACCCTAAAGCAACAACAGCTAATCAAGCACACATGAACTTTATCATGTGGAAAAATGTCTTCTCAGAACTTGGAAATGAATACACATCTTTTCGTCTGTGACGCACAGTCAGGATTTAAATCAAATCCTCAAAGGTTAAAGCTAATACGCTAAGAGAACGCATCATCAGAATGAGCCATAGCAGAATAACTGCTTTCCCTCTAATCAAGCAGCAGTTCAGCATGCATACTAATGCTATAATACCTACGTGCCCTTTATCCTCACCTCTGCCACGTATGCTTGCAAGTGTTTGGTAAGCAGGGCAAACCATTGCCCGTGTCACTGAGGAGACGGCAGCCGCGTAATGCCGGCCATTGCTGCGTGGCACGCATCTGGTACTGACCATCTGCACACCCACATCTGCCCAGGCAAATACAGCTTGTCCAGATGCACAATTAAGTAATTCTTAGATCAATCATCAACAAAGATTCACTCTGTCATGCTGTGAAATGGTTTTCCTTTTATTATAGTACACTGAAACAGTTTTTTATTAGGTTCTAAGCATTTTAGATTGGATAACCATAATTATGTTTGGTTGAAAAACCACAACAGTCTTTATGAAACCATGTATTTAAACACTGGGTAAGTCATCAGGAAACTCTGGTACAAGCACTACCCAATGTGGTTGCTAACGCAGACTTGTGCATATTTGGTGTAAAACTTAGTTGAGAAAGCAACTCCTCAAAAAAATTCAACACACATGGTGGAAAAGGATTATTTATTATATATATATACACTATTATATGGAGTAAGTAGAGTTTCTTAATTTTCAATTTAAACATTATTAATACTCATCAATTTTTTCCTTAACTCATTTTTCCCCATTGCTGATTTTCTTCTATTTAAGATTCAGTGTCTACAAGTATTTAGTATACTCACTGTAAAATTCTGAATTTCAATGAAATTACATAAAATAATTCCACTAGACTAAAAACTAGTTTAGCACTACCATACCAGCATCATATTTCTAGTAATTGTGTGTATTTTAAAGCTATGAAAATGGACTAACAATTAATAAGGGAAATTGTGCTATAGATATTAATAAAAATTCATAAATATAAGGTTGTTTTTATAGGATTTATGAAAAAATAGTTAAATGGTTTTTAGTCTTTTGAATATTTCAGTGCAATAGAAGACAACAACCCATGACAAGTGATATAAGAATAGTTTTGTAACTTAGAACTAAACAAGGAGTCCAGAAACATAAACATTAAGGAGATACTGAAATACTGTAGAGTGAGATGAATTTTAAGTATTCATTCTAAACAATTCTGACACATGGAGAAACTAATATTAGAGTACACAATATAATATCTAAAGTTTAAAAAAAAAACCAACAAAAAAACCAGAAAACCCTGAAATGAAGATTATTTCTATGCTTTGACAATCATAGGGCAGCTTTGCCACAGGTGTTTTATGCTTTTGCAGGAAAGAAAAAGTCCCTTTGTAGCAACAAAAATACAGCAATTATATCTAATTCCAAGACACTCTAGAGGTGTCACAGGGGGCCACACCATGGACAGATGGAGGGACACTTGAAACTAAGGACATATATTCAAAGACATGTAAGCAGGCCAAAAAAAAAAAAGAAAAAAATAACCAACCAAAGAGAAACATGTCAAACAAACAAAAAAACCCACTAAAACCACAAGAAACACAAATAAACCACAAAACAATAACAAAAAACAGCCTCAAAAAGCTAACAACAAACACACTTTGTGAGATCAAAATTACATACTTAGGAAAGAACTCAGCTGACCAGGTAAGAAGGAATTCCTGGACCAGGAATAGGATCTTTTGGGACAAACAGTGCTTCTTATAAAGAACCTCAGTTCTTAAACAGTGTAAAATAACTAAGAATCAAGGATGTACAGAGACCAAGGACATTGTACATAGACCCAAGAGTTCAAAATACACATTCTCTATCTGGTTACATCAGTTAGTATTTTAGATAACCAGCTTCTTCCAACCGCCTAAATTAAACTCTCAATGGCATCATCAAAACTTGCAGATAACAAATTCAAGTAACTCTGTGCAACATTTTACACAGAAGAATGTCCTTAGGCAGGGACTGGATTTCACCCAAGGTTCTTCAGTCATCATTAAAACTGACAGCTCCTCTCTTCTCTATTAGCACACTACAGAACATAGGCCAGATGCTGAACTGAAAACAACCAAAATCTCCTCATAAACTTCCAGACAACACAAGTTTTCTTTCCTATAAAACTATAGTCTTGGCAACAGAAGTCATCAGGGAAAGAATTTAAAGATGAACTAAAAAAAAGCCTCCAAATAAAAAAGAACACTTGTTCGAAGTCTTAACGGTCTGGATTAACAGTTGACTGAGATGTCAGTCCAAAATATTTCATGCTAGGTATTTTCATACTTGACCAGAAGTATAAAAAGACAGGTCTTATACACCTAAGTTTTCAATGACAAAAAAACTTGCCTTAAAAAAGAAACACTTCTATAAAAAAAAAAAAAAAAAAAAAAAAAAAAAAATTAAAAAAAAAAAAAAAAAAAAAAAAAAAAAAAAAAGTCACAAAAAGAAGTAAATAAACTAAAATATGTGATGCCTTTTTCTGAAATAGATTAACTTTCCCTTCTCTTGGGTAGTCTTATGAAAAATCCCAAATGCACAGTTACCATTCTGATTTAAGAGACTTGCTCTACATAATTTTCCAGTTGCATCCACAACTTATCTTCTGGAAAG